AGCAGATACGGATTAAATGGTTTTCAATGCATTCCTATGGGAAATGCAGATTTGACCTGCGAACTTTTTGACTTGCGAACTGCCTTCCAATACGGATTAAGTTCGCAAGTCAAGACCCCACTGTAATGGAAAAATGAAAGCATTGAGGAGAGATTTATTGTGTATGTGTGTGTGTGTATGCAGAAGAGAACGAAAGACTCTCCAAGGAAATAATTCAAGGGTTTTGGATATCATATTTATCTAAAGCTATTTAAATGTAAGTTACCTTAAGAGTAATACAAATTGTTTACATGATATTTATCAATGGTTTCTAGAAATAGAGTAAACCTGAAAATGAAAGCATTGAGGAGAGATTTATTGTGTATGTGTGTGTGTGTATGCAGAAGAGAACGAAAGACTCTCCAAGGAAATAATTCAAGGGTTTTGGATATCATATTTATCTAAAGCTATTTAAATGTAAGTTACCTTAAGAGTAATACAAATTGTTTACATGATATTTATCAATGGTTTCTAGAAATAGAGTAAACCTGAAGGAAGCCATGATGTTTTTTTTTAAAAAAATCTGATATCATTTCAGTCCACAGGTTAATGCTGCTAACCAGAAGCAAAAGATGAATGGAAATAAGAGCCCCTTTATGTATGTTGAACCTAAGGAGGTTTTAACATGCTGTGTCGTGATGGGGCTTTCTCCAGGAAGGAGGCAGGAACTTGACTCTGAGAAGTATCAACCAACTGAACTTAGATGTTTCTTCAGAACAGGTCACAGAAACGAGAGTTAGGCAGTATCTTGGAGATCATATTGTCTAGCCCATGGACAATGCAGGTCACCCTAAGAAAAGATTAATTCTAGATATCTAGTGATTTTTTTTCTTTTTCAAGGATCCTGTTCTGAATCAGGCTAGTTCTTTGTACTTAAGCACAAGTTGTAATATGTTCAATATGTATATGAGCCAAGACTTTCTTCCAATGAAGTTGATTATACTACAGAAAAAAAGTAGGAAGCCAACTGCTTTGTATCCCCACCATTACCATATACAGTACAATGTTTGTGCATGCCATTTCACTAATATCATAGAGAAATATCCCTCATGGCAAAGTTCAAAACATGCACTAACCTTTTACCTTCCTGATCATAAGAAGGATGGGGTGCAAGGAAATAATTTCTTTTAGTGTGCCTAATATACTAGCCATAGGGATGATTTCAGTCTAAATGGGTAAAGAAAGGGCACAGGACTGTTTGCTTGTCCCTAACTTCCTTTTTCCCTGCAGTTATTTTGGTCACAGATATCAAGTCCTAAGATTACAGACTTATAATGTACTCAGAGCCATTTTATATAATTTTTACAAAAGATGCAGCTATCAAACTGGACAGATAACTGTTGACACGTGACTATAAGATACATTTGCAGCCTTTTGCCAACTGCTGTGCAATACAAAAATGATTCTTCGAGTGCAACTACATTGTCTAAAAAATCTGAGAATTGTGTCAGGGTATTATTATATTGATTCATATGCTCTTTGTGTCACTGTTGCCATCCTCATGGGGCAGCCTCAATTGAACCAAGTTGATTCAGTGCAGAGAAAAACCACTGCTCTTTAAATCACCTTAACTAGATCTGGGGTGGCTCTTTAATCTGCCCATAGGTCTCTCCTGATTCCACCTGCCTTTTGTTCTTGTCCATAACTGTCTTGTCTGATGTTTATGCTTTTTGTTGTGCTTGGGGGTTTACTTTTTTCTTCCTTCAAATTTGTGAGTATTTTCTTCATCTTTTATTCTAAGTGGCATAGCGCTGCATCAGTGTTGCACAGAATGTATTCTTCTGCAGTTGAAACTTCCCTCTCATCTCCTTTGACAATCTGCTACTATCTATAGACCTTTCTGAGCAACAGGCCAGCAAAGCTTGCAAATGTAACAGTAAATATTAATTTAAAAAACCCTCACAAAACGGAACTGGTCTGGATGATAGGCTTCCCCTTAGTTTTCACCTGACCAGTTTGCAGCCTTTTTAAAACCTAAAGCGGAGGCCATCCGACGGGACCTCTCTCCTTTTTGAACACAGTAAGTCGAGCAGAGATGTCCAGCGCTCCGTCTTGCCTGGTACCCCTTGACTCCTTTCAGCCTGTCACGCCTGATTCTGTGGCCAGAGTGCTTGACTGTTGTCGAGCCCCCTCCTCCTCCTCGGACCCTTGCCTGGCCTGGCTAATCAAAGCAGCCAGGCCGATAACAACAAAATGGGCCACTGCAATAATTAATGGGTCTTTCCTTGAGGGCAGTTTTCCCTCTGCCCTCAAGGAGACACTCATTAGGCCCATAAGAAAGAAACCTA